GAAGATTATGCAGATATTTTTCCTGAATACATCTTTTTCAAGTTTCTTGAAAGATTATGCAGATTATTTTGTACTGAATATCATCTTTTGTTCAAAGTTTCTTGAAAGATTATGCAAGATTATTTTGTTCCTGAATATCAATCTTTGTTCAAAGTTTCTTGAAAGATTATGCAAGATTATTTTGTTCCTGAATATCAATCTTTGTTCAAAGTTTCTTGAAAGATTATGCAAGATTATTTTGTACCTGAATATCAATCTTTGTTCAAAGTTTCTTGAAAGATTATGCAAGATTATTTTGTACCTGAATATCAATCTTTGTTCAAAGTTTTTTGAAAGATTATGCAAGATTATTTTGTACCTGAATATCAATCTTTGTTCAAAGTTTCTTGAAAGATTATGCAAGATTTCGCGTTTTCTTTCAAATCATCATTTATACTTAGATTTAGTGTCGCACTTTAATTTGTATGTGGCCATTAAACTGTGCTTTTTTTTAAATTTTATATTTTTGTAGCATTTAAAAGAATTTGAATAATTTATTTTGTACACTAGAAGGATCTTATTAATCTTTGGATCCTAATAAATCATTTGCATTTTTAGCCCAAAAGAACGTTAGCCGGAATGGGCTGTTAGTCTCGAAGTGGGATTTTGCTGTGTCCACTATAAACGACTGCATCACTTTTCAGGTTGTTGCTACCAGATATTATCGCGCTGTATTATTTTTAAAGAAATTAAATGAAGAATCTGCGTGCATATTCCTCCCACTGTTAATAAACGACGTTAGGTAGAGCTGTCAAATTCTGAATAACATAGTCTTGCAGCCGAGCATGTGCACCTGGAAGCCCGAGTTTTGTAATCAAATTTTATACTTCAAATTGGAAAAACTTTAATTAATTTTGGAATGACAAACTCAACGATCTGAAAACGAGCAGTGGAGCAGGACATTTTTTATCTACAGCGCATGAGACCGTCTATCAGAAATTATAAAGATATGCTGTTTTTAAATGTTTGTGATTTTGCTTTTGAATCGAATTTTATGTTGCGTAAGGGAAATTAACATGATACTTAATAAATAAAGTTAACGCACAAAACGTTAATAATGAAATGTCTAAGAAAAAAAGAATTGCAAGCCATGTTATTATCAAAACTGGACATTCATTTGTTGAACTGAGAAAAGATTGAAAAAAAAAATAGAAAAATATATGCCGACACTTAACACTGCATCTGGAATTCTAAAAATATGCTGCTATGCTGTTTTTAAAATTTTTGTAATTCTGCTGTTGAACTGTATATGGCGTAAGTGCGAAGAAAATGATACTTAATAATAAAGCTGAAAAGACAAAAAGAAATTATGTAACAGGAGTGAATGCAACAGCAGACTGGTAGACTACGAGCTCAGCGAGAGCGTAAAAAACCTTAGCATATCGATTTAAGCGATCGTTAAAAATCCGAATTTGTCTCTGAATTTCTCTGAAATTTGAATAAATCTGAATTTTTTCAGATTTTATTTTATTTTATGTTTCTTACATCTGCTGTTTGCTGTAATTCTGTAATAAAATAATACTAGATATTATTTTTCCGCGCTTTTATAAATCCTAAAATGTCTCTATGTAATATTTTTTTTTCTGCGTGTGTCAATATGTAAAATGTGAAATTGCGAGTTTCTTGAACCCTTGATTGCTCTCTCAACTTTTTTACGAACTGGTGTGGTGTATTTAATTATGGCAAAGCACACTAGGGCTATCTGCCTAAGGGGAGGGATGCCTTTCGTGGAGGACTTTCTAAGGGAAACTGGCTCGTATACACGTTACACATGGGGAAAACCACGAAAACGCCCATGCAGCCAGCCCGTTCGCGGGATTCGAACCTCGGACCGAACTACCAGTGTTCAGCGTCTTTACCGCTCGGCCGCTGGTGGGCCCCTTTTACGAACTGGAATCAGGAATGTATGCGAAATTTAGGTCGAAATAGGTTACTGCTGCCATCTGTTGACATACAAACGCATTAAAAATTACCTTGAGAAATCTTAAATTTCACATTTGGATCAATGTTTACCTGGTTTCGCTATGTCAGTATAAATTATACTATATGAGTTTTCATTATTAAAATTAGTATAAGGAATACATGTTCTTAGTTTTCTTAAGAAGTTACGAATTTTTATTTCTTAGAATTCCATACGAAACTGTCTATAAATCCCGCAGAAAAACGGTAAAAAACAGTTGTGCCTCCTTTATCTGCATCAAATGCATTCCAGAGTTTAAACAAAGGGATAATGCCGAGTAATACATATATAACACCATCCTCAATATACACAGTGAAATTCAAATGTTAAACTATGCACTATAAAGACATTATTAATATTTAAATAAACAATATAGCGCAGTAATTCCCAATCAGCGGTCTTGGACTAGCGGCCTGCGAAAACAGTTCAATTATGGTTTTGCGAAGATTTTAGTTAATTGAAGTCCGAGTTTACATTATTTTCGTTTCCATTGTAAACGAACATGAGTAACGCGACAGCAAATCTACAAATGGAGCTAATTAATTTACAATTTGATATAAATATTATTCAAAGATTTGAAGATACCGATTTTATTAACTTTCATTCGTACGTGTCAAAAAGTAAATAAGCTCAGTCAAGAATTTTTTCTCTAAGAATATTCACTTTGTTTGGGAATACATATATATGTGAACAGCTTTTTTTTTCGCAGCTGAGAATTAATAAGGAAAAACCAGATTGATCTGTGAGAAATGTGATAATGATAATTTCTAGTAATTTCTCTCCAACTTTATCGGAATCAAAACGCGATCAAGTGTCAAACTGTAGTAAGAAATAAAGAAGTTTATAATTATTTAAATACAAATATATGTGTTTTTATATGTGCTTTGAAGAAAAAGTTAATCAATAAAAAATACAGCCTATGTTGTTATTATACGTTTCGTCCCACTATGTATATTTTCTTTGAAAACTTAGTAAGTCTTCACAATTTGTTTAACTTTAGTTTAAGTGAGCTATTTAATTATTAATTAAATATGTTAGAGTTACTTGAAAAAAAGGTCAGTCTGAGATTTTAATACGTAGCTTTCAGTATCTTTGAGTTACAAAGAATTATCAGCAAAAATACCATTACCAAACTTTAGATTTCAGATAGAAAATAAATAAAAATATGAATTTTTTCTTTCGATTCGACTGTTATTATTGGTAACATTTATGTATATTATGATACATATTTAGTAATCAAATTTTTAATTTATTTTGAATTTTTTTCCTTGTTAATAAAATTTTTCATTTTGTAAAAAATAAATGCGCAAATATAGTGCAATAAAAAATTTTACCTATTTATTCTTCATTTGTAAGTTAAAAAATAATTTTATTGATTTCCATTAGTAGAAGTATAAATTGGTTACTGTTCAGGAAATAAAAAAATAATTTCGTTGTTAATATTTTCTAATAAAGTTGTAAGGTATATTTGAATTTCATAACAGTTATAAGGTATTTCTCCCGCCTTCGTGGTGTAGTAGTCTGCATGCTGGGAGCGTATTAAAGAGGTCCTTGGTTCGATTCCCGGCCAAGGCGATGCTCATTTTTCATCTCTTTTGCTTCCAAAATACCTAATGTTTGTACTGTGGCGTCCGAACTAAAAGGGTAGTGGATGATGGTTCTCCACACCCAGGATTTGGCGATCGGGTCCCCTAAAAAACCCCAGTCGCCCTTTAAAAGGGGGAGTATATAAGGTATTTCCCTCGCCTTCCTAGCTTGCCTTCGTGGTGTAGTAGTCTGCATGCTGGGCACGTATTCCAGAGGTCCGGGGTTCGATTCCCGGCGAAGGCGTTGCTCATTCTTCATGACCCCTGCTTGCAAAGAAATACCTAATATCTCTATACAGTTATTTTAATTTGAAAAACCTCTCCTCTCAATTCTTGTTTCCACTTACAACTCCTTACCGGAATGAGTTTTTAGAATCGCGTTGAATGCAAATTAGTTAGAAGAAGTATTTAAGGAAGGTTCAACTAACTTTAGCAGAGAGAGCTAGGAAACCTTAGTAGCGTGTGTTTACCTTCGCGCTAAGTCTCTCTTGAAGCTGTTACGCTTGCCCGTTTATTAAGTGCCTTTTGATATTCGTAGGCCAGTTAGTTATAGTTAACTAACTGGCCTACGTTAGATACTTGTGTTTAGCTTCGGCTAAGTCTCCTTTAGTTAGTTATAGTTTAGTTTCTTATTTCTTATTCTGAGTTAAAGCCCGAGTGGAGGCTTTGTTGTAAGCCCGAGAAAGGGGCCGACTGTTATTCTTATTTGAGTGAAATAAAGGGTAGTTGAACCCTTCTTGAGTTTACAGCTTTAGTTATTGGAACTCAGCGATAAGTCGCTAGACAGTTCACTAGGTTCCTCGAAGTTCATGTCCGCTATATATATATATATATATATATATATATATATAATTTGATAGGTGAATAATTTGATAGTCCTGATGTTTCGTGAAAATTATTTCACAGATTTCTGTTACAAACTTAAATTTATATATATATATATATAAATTTGAACAATCATGTATGTACGGAGAAAGCAAAATTTCATTCCTTGCAGCAATGGCGCAAAGAATTAATTAAATTTGTATTTAAATTCAATTTATTCTTTTGAAACAATATATATATATTTCAGTTAAAAGGATTGTAAATCTCATTTAGTGTTTTCTCGTAAATTATCCGGTAATAAAGGATACAAACCCCTGGATTTTTCACTTCATATTCCCTCTTTTCGGCCCTCTAGCATTTCTGTTTATGTCATTTCTAAAATGTGTTCCAATTCTTTGATAATTTATTTTTGTTATACTTTTGCTCAGAAGAAAAATAATAATCACCTATTTGAGTTTTGAATATTTTTCCAAAAGATCCCGCCTTCGTTATTTAGCGAATAGCATACAATAAGTGTTTTAAACACTGTTTAAATCTTATTTAAATTTGCAATATCATTAATTTACTTCTTATAAAGTATTTAATGTTTCTTTGTTTTATTTAAAGGTATACTTTCGGAAACTGTCAAGAACCTTTACCACAATCTGTTTTCTTAGTCGAAAAAATACTTCGGGACCAGATGAATAAATTGGTAAGTGTAGTTTCATCATATTTCAGCAAATAAGTCATAATAAAATCATTAGTAGAGATGCAGTTTTAATGCAGAATCTATAAATCCTTTAAAGAAATAGATATAGTAAAATATATAAGGATTCAGAGTTAAATGGGCGGGACACCTGTGCAGAATGGATGAATCGAGTAACTAAAAAGATCTTCTCGGCCAGACCATTCGGCACCCGAAAAAAAGGGAGACCTAGACTTAGGTGGCTCGGCTGTTTGGAAGCAGACTTCAGAATTTTAAAAATAATCAATTGAATGTCCATGGCCAGGGATAGAAGAGCTTGGAACTCGATTCCGAGGAAGGCAAGGGCCCATCCTGGGCTGTCTGGACATTAAAGAAGAAGAAGAGAAAGTCATTATTAAAGATGCAGTTTTAATGCAGAATACTAAAGACTTTTGTATAAATCGGATTTTATATGTTTTATATGTTCGTAAGTAATTCAAATTCTGGCAATATTAGAAATGCAATTACATGAAGATAAGTTTTCCGTATAAGTTTTTATTCTTTGATACCTTATATACAGAAATTTTCCTTTTTAAAGAAGTGTTTGTAGGCTTATAATATCTCAAAATTAGCCCCTCCTCAAAACAAAAGGTAAGATTTTTTTTAATTAGTGAGTTGTTTAGCAAGGCACTGATTACGGACACTGAAGTTCGCTAGACTTGGAAACTGGCATGAAATCAGGAAAAGGTAATTCAAAATTGAAGTTTAGATTTTAGTTTAAGATTACTTTATAATACTTTTTCGTGTACGTTCTAATGAAACAAATGTAGAATTGACGTTACTTAAATATGAAAAGTGATCAAATAATTATGATAAAGATTAGAAAATAATAGGGCCAAAAAAATTAAATTGTGGATTTATGTAATGTTCATGGGGATGTCTGATATTAGTCAAAACTGAGCAAAGTCTCCGAATTTCCCGCATTGATAAACTTAGTTCAGCATCATCAAAGTTCATGCTGCAAATGGCATCGCTGAGCTCAAGTAATATATTGCGTAATATACATATTAAGGAAATTCACTTTAATGTTTCAATTTGAATGGGATAATCTTTTAAATGCCTTATTATACGCTTTATGGATATTGATATCCTGCATTCCCAAGTAAAATTAAATGTTGTGAGTAAAATAATTAAAAGAAGTACCAGTAAAATGAGCTTCACTATAGCATAAGATTTTGAATATTTTATTATAATACAATTGCATTGCTGCAATAACCTCTGCAATATTTGTTTTTTAGTCGGAATTCTGATATAAGTATGTAATGTGCAAATTTTTCTTGTAAACAAAGTCGGATAATTGTACCCGCTCTTTCTAATAAAAAATGCGAGGATTATTTTTAAGTAAGGTCCATTTTACAGTAAAAATGAAACAAAATATTAAATAAATAAATAAATAAATAAATAAAATAAAATAAGAAAAAAAAATCTGAAATGTTTCAGATTTTAAATTAAGTCCAAAGGGGCGTTTTTTAACATTTTGTGTGTTACCTTTCTTTATTAAATATCATGTTCCTCGCACTTAAACCATAAGATCCAGTGCAACAGCAATATCGCAAAATAGTTTTAAAACGAGCATATCTTTAGAATTTCCGATACAGAGACTCACGCGCTGGAGATAAAAATGTTTTTTCTGCACAACGTTGCCATTGCTCGCTTTGGAATCCTTGAGTTTGATAATCAAAAATTCGTCAAAGTTTTAAAAAATAGGAAATCGATCATAAAACAAATTTCAAATTTCAAATTTGGTCTTCCACATGCTCATATTCGTTGGAGGATTACGTTATTCAAAATTCGATGACTCTATGTACCGTTGTTTTATCACAATACGAGAAATATACATACATTTATGCATTTTTTTTTATTTAATTTCTTCAAAATATAAGGACTCTTAACATTTTGTGGCAACAGTTTGAAAAGTGAACCGACATTTATGAGTCCGACGCAAAATGCCAAAACGAAACTAAAAGTCCTTCGGGATTCAAATCCCTTTGGACTAAAAAAAGGTCATTAATTTTTCTAATTTACCTACAATTCTCTATTTCTTTGCGTAGTTTCGTTGTTGATTTAAACATTTACTGTCACGAACAGCAAGGTTTTGGATACTCTGTCATAGAATTCTGCTGTCGATAATAATTGCCGTCGTTTTTATTTCACCATCAGTGGTTTTGTTGCTTAAATCACTTGTTTAGGTGAGTTCGGATCTCAAACTGTCTGCATCAAACCAGCTTCAAACAGCGAGGTAATTCGTTTTGGAACTTTTCTTGATCTTCCTTGAACAACTGCCTCCATTTTTGTACTTTATCGTCACACATTGCATTGTTATCGCGCAATTTACATATCTAGCGATAAATATCCGCTACTTTCATATTTCTTGCTATTAAGAACTGGATGATTTACATTTCACTGTCGGCAGAGCTCTCGAGTTTCTTAAACATTTTAATCTCACACTACGAAGTGTATGATTGACGTTGTGAATGCAAATGGCATCGGAGAGATCCGGCGTTCTTGCTGGCCAAGATAGTGTTCGGCAAGCGCGAAGACAAGCAGTAGAAACCATAGCCGTGTGGGGGCGGACATTATCTTGCTGAAATGTAAGCTCAGATAGCAAGATATAAAGGGCAACACAACGGGCTTAGAATATTATCAACGTACTGCTGTGCTGTAAGGGTGGTACACCGCACGTATACATCATGCGCCAACTGCGACTATGCCTAAGCACTAGTGCACACATCAGTGAAGATCAGTATCTACACCGTACTTGTCACAGTCAGTAACTGTGCAACCATTGTGATGGTTACTGAAATTTGTGCCTAACAGTGTTTGCGTGTAGTGACTATAGCATTCTTAAACTTAGTGACTGTGCCAAACTCCAAATTTAGTGCTATTAGTACCACAGTACACTAAACTTTAGTGTAACCTGAACTCTGCAAAATTTGAACTATAGTGACTGTACTTTCAGCGAACCTCTAACACTAACTCCTGGCACCCAACTCGACACGGTTAATAGCTTCATCTCTGTGTTTAAGTGCTCACAGCACATTTGCAACCCCAGGATACCGCAATACACATATGACTCTATAAGTATTTTTACTACTTGTTTTTTACTCTTGTATCTTACATATGTGTCTCTCTTCATATTTATCTTAATATCAATGCATCCTTATGTTCGTATCTGTTAGTATTTGTTGTTTTTGCCTGTAATATGTCTATTCTGTATTTGTTTTGTTAATTTTTTGTATCTGTTTATTCCAACAGCCATGCACACCCACAAAGTTAGTGTCACGCAACCATTGTCAAACAATATCCTCAGTCCCCCTGTTTGGCCATGTATTGATCTTTAGATCGTATTATAAAACTCCGAGGCAGCCTCACGGGGGCCCCAGGGAGTTGTTATTCCTAGATAGGGGAGGGCGTGGGACACACGCCTGTTTACCTATGTTAAACACCAGGCGTCCCCGTCCTCCGTCACCTGTGCTGTAAGGGTGCTGCGGATGACAACCAAGGGGATCTTGCTATGGTCATTGGCGGTCAGCTCGAAGCGGGACTCATCACTGAAATAATACTCATCACTGAAATAAAAGTCACTCCATTCAGCTACATTCCGGATCGAATGTGAACGACACCACTGCAAACGGGCTTGTCAATGGTAGTTGGTGCAAAAGGCGCCGTGAACTCAGCCGCCTTTCTTTGAGCCGCCTATTAATGGTCCTTGCGGTCACAGAAGCACCACTTCATTGGATCGATGATAATGTTGAGCGTGGGGCTCTGAGTGCCGCTGGGACGATTGATCGGCCCTCACGTTCTGTCGTCTCTTTTGGACGACCGCTTCCTTGGTGATACCATCTCATCGCCGCCACTTCTCCATCGGTGCTTCGACATCGGCAGCCATGCTTCATTTCGTGTAGCCTTTATTACGAACAATTTGCCATCGTTTTTTCACCCTGGAGGAATTGCTACAAGAACTACTCTGTTTATTGTACATTATTACGCTATTTATACGTTATGTTTTCATGCTACGTTTATCACATATCTTGTTAGTCTGGGATAGGGCTCCGACCCAAGAACCCGTGTTTCGTGACCTGAGGCCACCTACTAAGAGGCTTCCTTCGTGATGCTATGTTCGGACATAGTTCGCCCATTCTGACAACATCGTCTAATAGTGGCATCTCTCCTATCCAAACGCCGAGCGATTCGCCGATCACACCAGCCGGTTTCTTTGAGCCCTACTATAGGTTCTCTGTCATATGCTGACATCTGCGCATATTCTTAACGCAATTGCATGCGAGGCATAGTTACTCTCTATTTGAATATACGGAATGGATTTCGCAAAGAATTTACGAGCTGGAATCGAAATTTCTTCTCTTTAATATCTTGCTAGTTGCGCAGTCAAGATACGCTGCAGCGTCACATGTTCATTCATTGGTCGCCAAACTTTAAAATTTTAGCATTTTTGGTCGAAACCTGTATGTATATCAATTTTTGGCCAATTTGCATTACTCTGTCCTAGTGTGTCCTTTTTTTTTGTGTGTGTGTGTGTGTGCGTTTTAGAGCGTAATATAAAGAGTAATATAATTATTGTGAAAAGCATTGAATTCATATCAAAAGCTCTTTTTAATTTCTTCTTGCTTTAAATGAATTAAAATCTACAATAATTGTGTGCAAAATCTAACTTGATTATTTAATTTATCTCCTATAAGGAAAACAGTAGTATTTGCAAGTTCCTTTTTAATAGCCATTAGAAAATTTTGCATAACTTTTTTATAGTTATTTTAAGGTTTTTTAAAGCTCTGCTTCACAATAATAATTAGCAACCTTAAAATTATTCTCAACTCAAAACCTGAATTCGGATATGATTGAACGAAGTTGCACTATGTTATGTTAAAAAAAAATCTGATCCTACTCTAGTGACCAGGAATGATCAAAATAGCGCGGTTTTTTAAACATGATATTCCTAATGGAATTAATTCCTAATGATATTCCTAATAGGAAGGCAATATTTCGGAATAAAACTAGAGCTATGGAATACTTAGAAATACAGCTAGAGCATTTGCATAATACTTAAATGCTGCTGTCCTTTCAAAATATTTGAATCCAATGACTTGAATATTTTACCGATCTGAAATTTTTAATAGAAAGCTTTAATTTTTCATATCTCCCTTTTAGTTGTGAGATATCATTTCTATTATTCGTACTATGAAAAATTATTTCTCTGAAAAATAGTTCTGTCATCAGTTAATTCTTGATAAACTGATTTATGAATCTTTTTTTTTTCACTTTTCGGTATATATATATTCTTCTTCAAAGTTAAATTTTCATACTTTTCAAGAAAATTTTCTGTGAAATCAACAAAAATGTAAAGCAACGTATGCAATTCATCCTAAATTAAAATGTCGGTTATTCATCATTTCTGAACGGCCCATTGAAAGATGTTATTAACTGTGCTTTGCTGTATTTTTTCTTTCAATATATGCAATTTTCAAATGCATCGTAGTGTGGGTAACAAAGTATTCTTTCGAAAGAAATACAATTCAAATAAATAAAATAAAATTCTCGAAAATTTATGTTAATAAATATACTTAAAATACGCCGTTCGAATGAATAAGTATAGCATTTTAAAATAACTATTTGAAAAAGTAGAGCTCAGCCACGCAACACAAACACAAATTAAAATAAAATTCTAAAAAAAAAAAAAAAAAAAAAAAAAAATATTAAAAATATAATAGAAAGAACATTATTTAAAAGAATAAACGATACATTTTTTCTTATCGTACACAATGAAAGGGAAAGTGAAGTAGGTTACCGTAAATTAAGAATTATGCTTGGCGCAACAGAAAAAAGAGCGCCAAGATAAATTTTCGATGTTCTCCTTAAATTTCTCTCCAAATTGTACAAAATTTGGTACTTAAACATAGTTTTAATCGTAGAATCAAAATATGAAAAAAAAAACTGGCATATCATTTCAGAAAACATCCAGTTTGATGTCAAAATCGATAGAAAAATGCTGTATACAAATCTTATATAAACACTAAGTCGCGCTTTCGATATATGAAAAAACGAAGTTGAATTTTGTCAATCGTCCAAGAACGGGATATATAAAGCCATCCCTTTTTTTAAATAGTACCCGAAACAGGGTAATAAACACGAATAAAACAGAGTATTTAAACAATTAGACTTAACGTATGAAAAATTGAATATTTGGTAGAATGCTGAAGATTTAATATAAAACATTTTTACTAAATTCACTGTCTATATTCATTCCAAATCCCCCTTCCCCCCCCAAAAAAGAAAGATTAGTTTAAGCACCTTCTTATACATATAGCAGTTGGTCATTTTGGTGGAAATAAATAATAATATTTCATTGAAGTATTCGAGTCCTTTTCCGGGAAGCACAACCTGAAAAATTGCTTTAATTGATGAAAACTTCGGCACCCTTGTACCAATCCGATGTATTTTGTAAAAGTACAGGCACCCTTTGTGCCAATACACCATTTTTTAGTGGACATCCAGATTTCGGACTTTGAATTCTATTGCTTAATGTGGTACCAATATTTGTTGAAAGGAATAATGCATGTTAAATATATGATGAAAAAAATAAACGACTTGGGTTAATATAGTTCTCATTTTTCTTAGATTTGTTTCCAGGGTTATTGTCTCGGTATCCAAAGAGCTACTTCATAGAAACGCAATCAACAGTCGAGCTGTGTGACAGATTAAGTCCTTAATTTTTTCTCTTTTGCTTAGCGTACTACTTCTAGAAGAACTAGCGATCTACCTAATGCATATTCTATGTAGAATGTTCAGGAAGAGTAGCTGCCATCTTTTCGTTCTGAAGTATTGATACTAGACATGCACATCCAGTTAAAATGTTTCTCAAAATAAGGTAGAGAATTTTAAAAGAACAGTTTCAGTATTGGAAGTATATATAGTCAGTATACACTGATGAACCAAAACATTATGATCATCCCCACATTTTTCATTGGATGACGTGGAGGGCGCATGGTTAAGTATAAAGGATATTTAACTGTTGCTGGAGAGTGTAAGGAATCGTTCTTCCGCTTACTTTTGCGAGTTATGTGAAGGGCTGCTGAGCTAAGCGAATTTAGTAGAGGGCAGATCGCAATGACCCGGACTCGAAACGAGTATCTCCGAAACTGCACGACTGGTACGTTGATCACGATCTGTCATTGTTAGTATTTATGCAAAGTGGATAAATGATGGTGAAACCAGCAGTAGACGCCTAGGTGTTGGACGTCCACACGTCATCAAAGGAAAAAGACTTCGAAGACTGTCCCGCTTGGTACAGCAAATTGGCACCAGGCAGGAGTTCAGCTGACAGCCCAATACAATGCAGGTCCAAGTGCAAGTGTTTCGGAACACTTGCACTTAGTTCAGCGGACACTGTTGGATATGGGACTGCGCGGCAGACGTTGTGTGGCTCTGTTAAAAAAGCATCATTCTCAACTACGCCTACAGTGGGCCCGGGAACTTCAAGATTGCACCATGGATAATTGGTAGACGCCTAGTCTGATGAATCACGATTTCTCATTCATCACGTCGATGGCTGTGTCAGGGCACGCCGTCATCCACGCCAACAATTGCTCCCCATTGTACAGAAGGTGTCATCCGAAGGCTGGTGGAGGCGGTATTGTGCTTTGGGGTACATTCTCATGGGCGGCTTTGGAATTCTTAGCTGTGGTAGAACAGACCATGAAAGCTGCAGACTATCTGAAGGTAACTGTGGATCAGTTGCACCCTTATATGACATCTGTCTTCCCAAATGGAAATAAAATCTTCCAACAGGACAACGCCCCATATCACAAGTCCCGAATTCTATTGGAGTGGTTCCAGGAGGAGCATAAGAGTGAATTCCAGTGAATGACCTCGCCACCTAACTTGTCAGATTTTAACCCAGGGATGTCATGGAGCAGCACTTCAGATCTCAAGCACCAACATGTCGGAATATCTCGACTTTGCGTAACCGCTGCTCAGATATTTGGTGCAATCTGTTTCCAATCATCTACCAAGAACTTGTGGCATCCAAGCCAAGGTGAGTAGGCAACTGTTTTGCAGGCTAAAGGTTGGGCAACGCGGTATTGATTAGGTGGTCATAAGGTTTTATCTCTTCAGTGTAGCGTCTTTAAATTTTGAATTGGTATAAAACTTAACTTTTATATGGTTAACGTAGAGCAAATGTCGAGTATGTACATTTTTCTTGGTAGCCAGACACAAATTAATTGTGTATTTGTTTTCCTGGATGCGGACCCAGTAATCACCGAAACAGTCAACGTTTATTCTTAGTTGCTTCGTAAACTTAGTTGAAATTTTAAGGAATATTCTATCTCCCTCCGAAGATTTGCATTAAAAAGTGATATAAATCAATAAATTTGCTCTCGAGTGTCTCCATAAATTTTGCATGTGTGAAATATTTTCATTTAATTTATTGAAGTATAACGAATATTTTATAAAATGTTTTATTATGTTTCCAGTCTACAGTATTGAAAGTGTTCTCATAAACAGTTTTGAAAAAGTTGATTTTTGGAAGTACATAACCTAATATTAATAATTAAGACACAGTAAGACGCCAAACAAATATTAATTCAGAAGTCAAACAACAAAAATCAGCGTTAGGGTTATATTTTGCTTTTGCAGCTAAGGATGGTGGTTCGGTAAAACCATCGAAACTAGTCTTAAGAAAATTTGAAAATATAATGCTGGTTTTGGTTGTTTGACTTTTGAACTAATATTAATACTTAATGAAATACTTATAGTCACTTGTTTCTTTTTGAACATTTTGTGTAGCAAGTATAGTTAATAAAATGTTTTATGAAAATCTAAGACCTTTTAATGATGTGGAATGAGTATTGATGCTAATGCGTTCTAATACTTTTTATTATTATTATTAATTTTTAAATTTCATTTTTTAGCTTTATAAAGCGACTGAGGCTGCACTCATGCGTGGAGGACATAACATATCATATGAAGATCTTCTTTTCGTTATACGGAGGAACAGAGTATTGTTGTTTTTTTTTTTTTTTTTTTTTTCCCCCAAGATTCTTTGTTGAGTATTAGGTTAAATTTATCATTGCTTTTTAAAATGTATTAATTCACGAAGTTTGCTGTAAAGTATCTAATAAAAAAAAATAATGTTTTTGAGTTACAATTTTACGCAAATTTAAGAAATGTCAAGCAATTAAAATAAATAGACATTGTCAATTCATTTATTCTATTTCATACGTAAACACTTTTATTAAATGTCAGGTGTTATAAATTAAAAAAATTTGTTGTTATTATAGTTCTCATTAAAAACTATTCTTTCTAAAAACTTACCAGTTCTTATTAAAATTCAATGGTTATGAATCGTAATCCAGGTTTTTCTCTTATTTGAGAAAAAATAATAATTCAAATTATCTACAAGTACTAGAGGCCTGGATTTCGAACTAGTGATTTTTTCGACTAGTTCTGAAGAAAAATGGTTTTTGTCATTAAATATGGAATTAAAAAAATAATGTAAATGAACTGAAATGGAATAAAATTCTCTAGATTGTGCCATAAAGTTTTTGTAGATATTACGAATTTGATTCTGAGTTAGACCTGAAGAGAATAATTTTATATCCTACATAGGGCAGGTTAGAATATGTGGAAATTTGTGATGTTGTTATTTTCTATTTTATTTCCTGAAAGAATTTTTTGGGCTGACTAGTGGCTGAATAGCTAAAGCCCCCTAACAGCAGTACTTCGCTGCGAGTTCTATTCTTTGATTAAATGAAATTTACGGCCATGAGGATTTCGTAATTCTCTTCTCCTTACAAGGCCCACCAGCGGCCGAACGGTAAAGTCGCTGAACACTGGTAGTTCGGTCCGAGGTTCGAATCCCGTGAACGGCTGGTGCTGGGGTTTTCGTGTTTCCTCTGGTAACGTGTATACGAGCCAGTTTCCCTTAGAAAGTCCTCCATGAAGGCATCCCTCCCCTTAGGCAGATAGCCCTAGTGTGCTTTGCCATAATTAAATACGCAGTATCGCTTCTCCTTACAAGCCGATTTCTGATAAGCAGTCTTCCACGAACGCATCATTTCCTATAAATAGATAGTTGTTGTGTACTTCTCTATTATTAAATAATTCAGTCGAATCTTAAAGTTCTTTAATTAGCGATTAAACGTTTTCAGGCTGTACACAGCATATTCATAGTTCAGTTTTGCATTTTCAGAGTTGAAAAAAAAAAAATGTATTAGATTTATGCATAAATTTATGCTGTTATTTGATCTGTGTACATTGACTATGTTCAGTGCTAAATTAATCATTCATGTATTTCCCCGCGCGGTTTACGATCTTCTGCCAATGTTTTGGCAATTTTTGGATGTCTAATATGTAAAATCTCAGTGATTTATGTGATTTAAGATAAATTAGGTTATTCAAACGTTCTTCTTGGAAGTGGGATGAACGACTGTCGCTGAGGTCAAACTTCCTGCCAGAAAAACCTGTCAATCCATTTTCAGGTTGTCCTTTTTGCAACAGCATGCTTTCTATACACAATACAAATTCGTGTCGAAACCTCTGCAGCTGTCTTACCGTTTATTGAACTCGTAAAAAAGACTATGTCAGAGATGCTTTTTCTCAACCTGACACTCCGTACTTCAGACTCTGGAGGCAGAGGGGGTAATCAAGTAAAAGTCATTCATAGAGACATAAGTAACTACAATTTAACCTATTTAAACGTCCCATTGCCATCACCGCTGATATCTGAGAAAAACATTCTGTGGGGGGGGGATGGCGCGGAATTATGCATCAACCAGAATATAGTTTAATCATAGTCTGTTGAATAATATTGATTTTCACATTTTTGTACAGTATTCATTAAGCAAAATCTGTTATGCATGGGTCCCCTTTTCTGAGGTGCAGTTGGCCGTCATTTTTCTTTCAGGTCGACAGCGCTCGTCCACATAGGAATAATCTGGTGAGGGATTTTTTGGAAAATGAATGTATTACTTGTGTGCATTAGCCAGCAAACTTTTAAACCTGAACCTTATAGAATATGTCTGGCACCCTCTTGGCAGGGCAACTGCAATTCGTCTTTGCCCACCCAGAATCCTTCAGGTCCTGAAAATAGCCTTGTTGTAGGAGTGGGCACAGCTGCCGTAGCCATTTCTGGTATGAAATCGCGTTTTTAGAGCTGTATGACTCCTGGATGAGACCATACCCCAATTAGTCTCCTTTTCGTTCGATCTTGCAACTTCTGTTTAAGACCTTTCTGCGCCGATGAGCCTAACGTATGATCATGGATGTGCACAATAATAATTTTAAGGTCAATTTTTGGTAGTTATCAGCCTAAGTCCGTATCGTATTTCATTAAAATTTATTCGTCAATTCTGGAGATAATCGAGCAACTGTGAAAATTCTCTTAATTCTGAGCACCAGTGTGCAAAGCGGCTGGGGATTAGAGAACCCAATCGCCAAATCCTGATGGTGGAGAATCATCATCCACCCCTTTTTTTTAATTCGGGCGCCACCGTAGATACATTAGGTTATTTTGATGCGGGAGACATGAAGAGTCGTCTTATACGACTACCCTCTTTATCGCATAGCTCGGGATATGTGCCACCTTGCTGGCATGGTAGTAGGGAAGTCGGTTGCCACAGCCTTGGACCCAGATTCTAATCCCAGAGAAGACATGGATGTTTGTAAGAGTATAGTGTCTTTTCGGCATGGGGAGACTTAAAATACCGCTTTGCGGAACATTCTATAGACGATTTGGGAATATAGGGAGAAGGGGTTGGAGATTCTCAGATTCAGTGCTGCATCAAAATTAATTTGGTTTGGTTCATTGAGATTACGGCAAAGTACACTATGGCTACTTGCCTAAGGGGAGGAACGCCTTCGCGGAGGACTTTCTGAAGGAAATTGGCTTGTGAACATGTTACACATGGGAAAAAGCACGAAAAGGTCCATGCAGCCAGACCGTTCGGTTGGAATCGACTCCAGGTCAGAACTACCAGTGTTCAGCGACTTTATGGCTCGGCCGCTTGTGGGCTTGCGTCAAAATTGGAGCTGAGCGAAGGTGAATACAGTCATCTATAAGATGATCGATGGCTTTGGTCCGCAACAGACGCTTACTACTTCTCGACCATTAATGAAACCTGATCGAGATCAGATCAGGATGATGGGAAAAGACTATAGCAATAAAATGTTTTATTTTGCTAAAAAAATATCGATTTTTGTTTAATATATTCCAAGAACACTTAAAGTAGCTTTTTAATATGAAAAAAAAAAAGATTTAATTTAATTTGAGAATTAATCATTTGCTATCGTTATGTATGTAAAAATGGAAGAGGAATATTTGTTCCCTACTTTTCCTTTCCCCCACTGATTGCATTGCTTATTGCATGTCAGCTGCAACTTTCTGCATTTTATTTAGTAATGTTGTGATTTAAGAAATTTTCATATAAATGTATGTTATTTAATGCGTTGACTTACTTTTTTCTTTTCTTTTTTTATAGATTGTCGTGAAGCGTTTGTTGCAGTATCTAGAGATTGTGGATATGAAGGCTATTCTTTACAGGAGAGCTAAATTGAATTTAGGTTACTTTATTTTCGCCCATTAATATGACTTTTTTAATTTAAGAAATATGCATATCTTTGTGTCTATTTTTTATTACGAAACTGCACTGATGATGATAATTACATTGTTTTTCTTGTAAATATTTGTGTTGCTCGTTCTCATGCTGAAATATTTAGATGACGTATTTTACCTCTTCGTGTGTTAGGCGTACGGCTATTGACATTTTCAATCTTTAACGAACATAACTTTCTTTCTGAAAACTTATTGTTTGTTTACCAGCAAAGTCATGCAATTAGAAAAGAATCAGTGCCTATAAACTAGAAAAGGAGAAAAGGTATGCTTATGTATTTACTGCCCTTCAGCGTATGCGAAAAACAGTTTTGTGCGTTTTACATTGGATTTAACGTTGATCCGTATGGCGTTATATTTTCATTTCTAAGGTCATTCGAGTTCCTAAAAAGGTGTAAAATACATCAAAATATGCATGTTTGAAAAAGAGGGCTACTAATCCGTCGAGTAAAAGTATTGTTATCTGGAAATTTTCGGGAATCAACGAAAATATCCATTTGACATTCGCGAATTTGAACGTGTTTGCATGCTGTAAGTACGGATTAATAAAGGCGTCTTTTCAAAAACGGAATGAAGAGATTGCAAACTAAAAATAAGAAGAAGGCCTTATCATTTAAATTTGGACTGCTATAAAAATGTAGCTGTGCACCTCCATTTTGTAATTACACAATGCGACTAAATCTTAATGCAAAAGTGTTAATTGATCCTCACACACAGCTCATTTTTTATAATTTACCATTCAAATAAGATCTTAATAATTTGAGAATTATTAAGAAGTTTTCGATTAATGTAGTTAACTATACACATGAAAACATTAATTTATGATACAAATATTATAAAAAAGTTAAGCTTTGAAAAAAAGAAAACAACATGGACCAAAATGCTATCAACTTGGTTATCATATAAAGAGGTTGGGAGCTTATTTTCGCGGAAAAAAAAAAAAAAGTTAGCATCTCACCACAGAGGAAAATGGCGCTTATGCAATATGTTAAAGAAATAAGACACGGTTTAAAAGGTGTCAATTTCTGAAACGTGTACAAAGCGTTCAATATGGCGTTCACCTTTTTCGATAGCAATTTAAATCGCATTACTGCGTTTCAAAAGCAGCCCTTAGCTATTCTGAGAAATGTTACGTATTCGGTGAATCGCATTTTTAATTCGCTCAAGTTAGATTTTTGCGTACATCATTTCTAAGCCAATACAGACATTGCGTTTTGATACCTCAAGAACCATCGTCGAGAAACAATTATAAAACGTTTTAAAGCGATATCTTCATGTCACGAGATCATGCTATTTTCACGACTCCGCTCGAAATAACTATTGTCTTCGTGGCGCCCAACTACAAAAGATGGGGATGATGATTCTTACCACCAGAATTGGCGATTGAGTCCCCTAATCTCAAGCCGTTTAAACGAGGAGTTATAAGTATTTTCCGCATTCTGAGCATGCTTCGTGGTGTAGTGGTCAGCACACTCGGCGCGTATTCGAGAGGTCCCATGGTTCGAGTCCCGGAGGAGGGTCATTTTTCATCTCTCCTGCTTTCAAAAAAAATACCTAATGACAAGATGGGCTGTCTTGTCAGTCAACAGGTCTGATCTTTCATTCATTATTTTCTTAAGAAAGCCTATTACCCATTAGTGCTTACAAAAGTATATTTTTCGCCATATTTCTTAATGATGTTTTCCAGAATATTATTTTATATGCTACCTTAATGTTTCTTTTATTTTTTATCATTAAAGGGTTGAAATTTCTTGTTACTGTAAATTTTGAATTCACTCTTGGTGAAATGATTTATGTATATAGAATTAAATCTTAAATCGTTAACATTGCTTTGTAGCAAATTATGTTGACACTTTGGTTGGATTAATATAGAATTACCTTCTTTTTTTTTTATCATTGTTGGTTTGAAAATTCTTGTTTGTAACAGAATTCACTCTGGTGAAATGATTTTTATGTATATAGAATTTAAATTTAAATCGTTAACATTGCTTTTAGCAATTTTTGTGACATTTAATTTAGTTGATTTAGATTTTACTCTGTGACAAACTCAGAGTGACATTTGATTTAGACGATTTAGATTGTATTCAATGACAAACACAGAGTGACATTTGATTAGTGATTGATTTAGTCAGGAAACTCAGGGAGGCATTTGATTTAATGATTTAGATTTATTCAATGAAAAAGATAGCATGACATTTGTTTAGATATTAGATTTCTCAATGACAAACTCAGAGTGACATTTGATTTAGACAAATTCAGAGTGACATTTGATTTAGATGATTTGCAAACTCGATGACAAAGATGATGACATTGAGTAGATTTTACTCACAAACTCGAGGACATTGATTAATGATTTAGATTTACTGCACTGATAAATCAAGAGTGACATGGGTTTAGAGGATTAGATTTACTCACTGATATACTCAGAGTGACATTGGTTTAGATGATGAGATTCGATAAACTCGAACTGTTAGAGATCACTCGAGCCAGAATTGCTTTAGGATTTAGATTTTACTCACTGATAAACTCAGAGTGACATTTGGTTTAGATGATTTAGATTTTGTTCCCTGACAAACTCAGTTACCAAATCGTCGAAAATGGGTGCATCGAGCTACATATAATTTATAAAGGTTCTGAACTGCTCGCAGATATGTGAGCGAGATCTTGGAACCCCATCTAAGGCTGTGTAGGGGTACTGCTAGCCCAGAGTTTTTATTGATGATAACACTTATCCGCATCGGGCATCTCTGGTGTCAGAACAGATGGAAAGGGAAATATCACTTGAATAAGTGAGCCAGGTTACTTGAACCCGACTGAGCATAAGTGTGATGCTTTAGACCTCTGAATTGCTGCGCGTCAAATGCCTCTTAGGATCCTCCACGATCTGAAAAACGCACTTTCAGACTAGTGGCGTGTTGTTTTATAAGACTTGTTTAATAATTAGGTAAATTCTATGAAATCAAGAAGTAAAGTCTGTGTTTCTGTCAAAGATGGTTATACACCATATTAAAAAAATTATCTCTTGCAAAGGAAAGCTTGCAACAGGATTGTACGGAAGAATATTTTCCCATCAATTTTAAATTTCCATCAATTTGACTTTAAATTCAGTATCCTGAGATTAATCAATGCAAATTTGCTTATGTATTTTAATTAATGCTTTTGTAGAAATTGTTTTCAATCATTCTTCAATAAATTTTATTTCTGTCAATATCCTTAATTTTCACGAGCAGTGTATTAAATGTTTACAGTTTTCTCAAAAGAAAAAAAAAATTACATGCATGTATACATTATTAACTATCATTAAAAAAGAATTCGTATTTCTTTATTTTGGAAACAGATACGGCATATCCTGGTCATCTGCCAAGGGGCTTAAGAGTGAAAGTTTGCCTGGCTTTTCTTGACTACCTGGATGAATCTGGTGCATTAGGATCTGTTCTTGATGAATATGTTGATGATCCTGTTGTCAATGAAAGAATGTTGGTTTGTAATCTTCCTTATATTACATCATATAATTTGGAATATTTTTAAATTATTGCTCTGAATAATATTAAATTAATAAGCCAAACGCTACTTATAGTTAAAAGAAAATAAGCTTAAAGTGCTGTCCTTTAAAGTGATTAAAGTTACAGGCATCTCCTTTAATCATTTCTTCTTAGATTAGATTCATTATCTTAGATTTACAACAACAACAACAACAACAACAACAAAAAAAAAAAAAAAAAAAAAAAAAAAAAAAAAAAAAAAAAAAAAAATCCATTTTTTTAAATCTGTTATTTCTCAAAATGAAATTATTTTTAAAATTTGGGTCATCAAGAGTGGTAAATTTCAATGCCCAGTATCTCAAAATTTAAGAAATGGGGAAGGAGGGGGATTGTCTAGTCTTGTTGCCTACAGAGCTGGTGCTAGACATTTTGTCTCCTAATGCATTCCTGCTGCCCAGTGTCTCCCTAAATTCTAAAAATTTTGCTAACTCTCCTACTCCCGAGTTCTAAAAATTTTACCACTTTTAGATTTTGTTTCTCGGTGCTTGTCTAAATTCTAAAAAAATTACAGCCCTAAATTTTGCTATCGTGTGTCTCCCCTCAATTCTAAAAATTTTGTTATCCTTTGCTTCTCATAAGTCTAAAAATTTTGTTGCCCGTGATTTCTGCTGCCTGGTGCCTTTTCTAAATTCCTAAAATTTGGCCACCCCTAAATTTTATTGCTCCATGCTTCTCTGGATTCTAAAAATTTCTTGTCCCTAAATTCTGCTGCCTGGTCTTTCTCAAATTTTTATAGATTTTGCTCTCCCTAAATTGTGTTGCTAAGTGCTTCTCTAGATTCTAAAAGTTTTAATGCCCCTAAATTATGTTGTCTGGTGCCTTCAATAAATTCTGAAATTTTGCCTGTCCTAAATTTTGTTGTTTGGGGCTTCTCTAAATTCTAGTTGCCTACAACTGGCTGATCTAATAAAAACACTGGACTCTAGTAATTTCATCTAGGTGTTTTTGTTCAGTAGTGAAATAAATTGTCTTTCATTGGATTCCTTCCCCCCCTCCAGGAATTTGTAAACAAATATATATATATATATTTTCTGAGAAGATCTTTCACAAACACTGTCTTCTCTAGCAGATAATTCTTGCATGTTTTTGCTATGCTTAATTTATTTATTTACTTTATTTCTTTACCAAGACATTTATGCTTACTCTATTATGCTATCATGTGCAATAAACTGAAAAGAAATTTATAATGTGGAGTGAAAATTGACAGAGCGATAGAATATCTGTGAAATAATCAACTGAAGGTTAATTACATGAAATTAGCTCCTTATTTCTGTTGCCACTTAGATGGACAACTTATAGCGCATTTACTGGATTTTAAGTCTGCTTTATGTTTTTTGAATGCTCTGAGTGTGGTCTGAATTTGAATTTTGATTTTGAAATTTCCTCTAATAATCTTACTGTAAATTAGATTAGCTTAACATTTACTTTTTTATTTCAGTTTTGCTTTTCAAGTTTTTGTTTCATTTCTTTTAATATGTGCCTTCTTGGTGTATAATTTACCAATCCTAATTGATTTAATTCTATATATTTTATCTTATATATATACAGTCAAAAGTCGTTAATCCGGACTCG